GTCCCCTCCACTAAAAGTCTCTTTAAAGCCTTCTCTACCTGTGGCTCCCACCTTCTTGTTGTGTCTTTATACTATGGGAACGCTGCAGGAGTTTACTTCTCATCATCATCGAACTCTCAAGACAAAGATGTGATCGCCTCTGTGATGTACACAGTAGTCACCCCCATGCTGAACCCCTTCATCTACAGCTTGAGGAATAGAGATATAAAACAGGCCTTAGAGACATTTATCAATAAGATTAAGTTCAAGTGACAACCTGTAAATCATCTGATTTTATCATGAACACCATGAAATGCATCTCCTAAAATTATATGAGAGGGTTGATAACTCCATGTAACTTGAAAAGAACATGCATTCTACTGTCAGAAATGTTAATGCATCAACTAGGTCAGATTTGGTGACTTGGTTTGTTAGTCTTTATCCTCAATACTTTGTCCTGCTTTGTTTTCATCTCTTGCAAGTTACATGGAAAATCTTTTTTTTTTTAAGATTTATTTATTTATGCATGCAAAAGCTGGGGTACAGGCCATTGATGCGGTGTACAGGAGTGAGGGAATCCCCAGAAACAGAGTAGGGAACAGAACAGGCAGACTGAAGAAATACACAGTGAGGGGAGCAGTGGGCGAGACAGAAGAAGTTTGCTTCGCCATGTGGGTTTCTCTCTGGCTGGCTGGGGATCCAACTCGTGCTACAGAGGCTGCGAACCGCTTCATAGTGTGGTGCTTCACCCCTTGTGCCACAAGGGAGGCCCTTACATGGAAAATCTTATAAAAATGTTTCACACTGTAATAAATGTTTGTTGCCTTCTACTTTGAGACATGTCAGTGTTCATGTATGTATTTTTTCTGTTATGTTATGAAGACACAGATCTAGCCTCATGATCTGCTCCCAGTGGACTGATGTTACGTGATGGGGGCTACACAAGCTTGCCTCATCTTCAAGTTGATGGATCATAGCTCTTCCCAACTCTATAATGACATGTTGGTAGACTGAAGTCAGCTATATTGGGAATACTTACACTATGGAATGGGAACATCTGTGATGGGGCTCCTTTTAAGTTAACTCCCCGCTCTGGCTCTGGTGAATTCTCTCACCCTCCTGCACTTCTGACTGTACCCAGTGCTTGTATAAATAAATAAAAATAAATCTTTAAAAAAAACAAAAAAGATACTGTAATTGTGGATGTATATTTTTTCTCCTCCACAGGTGCCCATATTCCACCACCATCCACCAAACCACCCATGCCAATGCACTAGCCCCTCACCCCACTCACTGCTCACACCCCCTTGTTTTCTCTGATAACAAATAATGTTTTTTCCCTTAGTTCAAGTTGATTTTTTTTGCTATATTTGCCAGTATATCTGTTTGGTTATTTATATTCCACAGATAAGTAAAACCACCCATATCTGCTTTTCACTTTATGACAGTCCTCCAGGATTTTATTGAAAAAATATATATATTTCTTTGGGTAGTGTGTCTATATTAGTAATGTAAATTCTTTCAATCCATATATATATTTTTTTTTTTTGGATGGGGAACAATCAAGTGTAGGCCTGAGGTATAAGGGTGAAAGAATTTATCAGGGTCAATATGGAAAACAGAACAGGCAGATTTATTGAAGCACACTGCTAAAAGTAGCAACAGGTAAGGCAGGAGAGGTCTGCTGTGCACAATCCATAATTCTCTTAATATTATCTTATAGTTTGCATTGTATGGATCCTTCATCTCCATTGTAAAGTTACTCCTAGGTATTCTGTTCTCTCTGTGTAATTGTGAATGTGATTATTTTCTTTGTTTTTATTTCTTCTAACCTATTGTTTGCATATAGAACTGCAATGGACTTTTCAAATTATAAACCAACTAACTGAGTCATTCATACATATCAATACTATATCAATGATACATCAATGATCATATATTTACTTCATTTGTGGAATATACATAGTAAAAACTGACATTTCTGGTGCTCTTACGTGCTTTAGCAGGAACGTTCTAACTTTAATAAAAACTTCATACCCCTGACATTCTGATTATCTGCACTTTAAAGTGAAACAAAATTGAAACAATTTAGAAAACAAGGTTGTAGAAGTTTTCAGTTCAGAGCCAACAATGAATGACAGACAGAGCCCAGCATCCAGTGCTGTCTGACCAGGTCATTGGCCTCATGGCTTTTAGAAGATGGGGGTTAGAAGATTCTGCTTCCCAACTGGATCTGTGGGCAACAGAGTGTTCCTGTACCCAACACCATCCCAGGTGGTTCCCCAGTTTGGTCTCTTTGGCCTCTGCACAGGCTCCTCCCCAAGGTCTGATAGGAACTGTAGCAATTAACTACTGGCATTTTTTCACCAAGAGTTTAGGGACTATTTTTTGTCCTCTCATGGTTTATAAAATGGCATCTTCCTGGCTATTATTTTGAAGTTCAAGGGCAAACACAAAAAGTCAGGTGGTCAGAGACTCACGAGATTTGCTCCATACTTTTTGCCTGGTGTCCACAACAGAAGCTACAAACACAAACTGAATTAGAAGGTCATTGACTTAGCAAGAATAACAGGTCAGAATATGCTGTAATATTAAGAGGAAAAAAATATGTTTCTTCCTATGGATTCTTATGGGTCTTTGCTTGTAATGTAGACACAAGTATGTCTCCTGTCAGAATTTTGTATGTACATTCATATTTATACATTCATAGACTGAGACCGAGATTGAAAAGACAATAAGAGACAGAGAGAGAGAGATACAAGAGACAGAAGGGAAAATGACACAAGGTGATTCTTTTCCTCTCTTTGGCCCAGAGCTCAAGCATCTACTGGGTCCCCATAAGGCAAGTGGGCACCACTACTGGGTGTCACCTGCAGTCTTTAGCCAGTCCTTGATTTCAAGTATCTGCCCTCCCTGCTGCATGACTCCCACATATTCATCTCTGATTACTCAGCACAGGTAAGTAAAGAGATTTCAGAGTGTAAAGAGAGAAGATGTGCTCCCCACTCTGGAGCAGGGATCCTGCCTTTATCCATCACAGCAGGGGATGGAGGATCTGAGATTGTTACAGAGTCAAGTAGTAGGTGTGATGTGGTTTTTTGTATATGACAAAACTGACATATGCATGTCACTCCAAGGTTTAGTGTATGGTTGTGTTTTGATGTTTTCATTATCAGCAGTGTTTTTGTGGAGTACTGTCTACTACATGGGGCTCATGTGCATTCTTCACTGACCCCTTAGTGTCCATTCACAGTGGTCATGCTCTGCATTGGAAGGGTCACTCAGGTCACCCCACTGGGCAGGTGTAACATACTAATGGATGGGACCACAGTGCCTGCAGCATGTCCATTGTGGTGTAGTCCTCATCTAGCCCTTAAGTTTGCTCTCTGACTTTCAGATCCCATCTGGAAAAAGAGGGTAACTACTCCCACATACAGTGCTATCCTGAGGAATAATTGGACAATGCAAACGGACTACCCAAGACCTCGCCTGGCTCATGATTGGTGTTCAGAGGAGGAGGATTTTATTCTCTTTCCCCAAGCCACTGCCAGTGTGATGGAGACCCCCACTTCACTGCTGTCTGGAGCAGGGCGAGTAGAAGGCTAAGAACAGGGGCCCCTGCACACCCTCACATACGGAGCACATGGCCTGATCCATACAGGGCTCGGGACCCAGAACCTTCCTCACAAGCCCTGCCCCAATCAAGGTCCCATTTGGTCCAGTTGGTTTCTGCTTGATTCCTCTGGTTCTCAGTGAGGCTGAGAACCTTTCCTCTGTTCTCAGGGAGAACCAGAGTGGGCAGCCAGGCCTCCACATGCGGCTCCAGACACTGTCCTGTTGGTGGCCGTTAATCAAGGTAAGCAGAGCCCTCAGCAAGTTCATGGTCCCTGAGTAGACATCACTGTCCTGCACCCTGCTTGATTGATGCAGTGAGGATCCCTCTTCAGTGTGTGTGTGTATGTGTGTGTGTGTGTGTGTGTGTATAATCTTAACTCTAACCTCACTGCAAAAGGAAGGGTGAGTCTGGAATCCACTGTCAGAGAACTTAGAGACCTTGTTGACCTTTATATCTTTGTCCTGATTGTTTTCCCATCTATGAAATGAAGGGTATAATTACCACATATATCATATAATCTCTAGATTTATATTTATATTATATGTATATTTATTCTATCTACTGGGGAAGTGAGATGTTTGCACAGAGTTTAATGGTGGATTCTGTCCATAGAGATATATTCTGATTTGGCCCTTTTTTGCTGATTATTGATGTATCTTAGCACATTTTGATAATGTATATTTAGTTCCTCATTGTTAAAAAATACGATTTATAATATTGCTTTATTAGGGCGATGCCTAGGATTTAGGTAGAAAGCACATATGAAACCACAAGCTAGGGCCTGGCATGCTGTAGATTAAAGACAAAGATTTGATATTATTATTAGAGTTTGTTTAAGATCCTGGATGGACTTTTGTTGACAGGGACTAGAAATATCTCTCATCAGTTACATCCTGCCAATTTCTCTCTAGCATGTGAGAAATCACCAGGTATTCTTTTCCAGTTTAGAGAGTTTTAGGTCTCTTTTAGAGGAAGTTATGGATTCTCTCCTGCTGCCCATCTCAAAACTTTGCCATGCGTGCGAGTTACTGTCATGTGACCTGCAGTGATAGAAAGATGGAAACTCCTTGAAGGCAGAGGCTGCATTTCCTGCTTGCTGTTATGGACTCAGTGCTTTGTGGGGAGCCTGGGCCAAGGCAGTTGTTCAAGACATTTGTGTAATAGAGAAAAATGCCCTCTGGTGCCTTGGAAGGAAAACTTCGTAGGGTATCGTGAGGTCTTACGTACCCTCAGAGCCCTCTGTGACAGACAGGGATTCATGCATCCACAGGTGTGGGCAGTAAATGGATCATGGTTGAAGAATCATGCCTTCAGGTAAAAAGGATATTGCAATGTTGGTGCAGTTAATATACTAGACTTCCTCCCTTTCCTTCTTTCCTTCATCGCCAACAGAGACATGAACAGCATGAGGTGGGAGAACCAGACCAGTGTGTCCGAGTTCCTCCCCCTGGGGCACCCCATCCATCCAGAGCAGCGGAGCCTGTTCTTCGCCCTGTCCCTGGGCATGTACCTGATCACAGTGCTGGGGAAACTGCTCATCATCCTGCTCATCAGGCTGGACTCGCGCCTCCACACCCCCATGTACTTCTTCCTCAGCCCCTTGGCCTTCACTGATGTCTCCTTCTCGTCTGTCACTGTCCCAAAGATGCTCACGAATATGCACACTCAGCAACTGTCCATCTCCTATAGTGGGTGCATTTCCCAGATGTATTTCTTTGTGGTCTTTGCTTGTCTTGACACTTTCCTTCTTGCAGTGATGGCCTTTGACAGGTACGTGGCCATCTGTCAGCCCCTGCACTACAACACCATCATGGGGCGGAGCTGTGTGTCTCCTTAGTAGCTGGGTGCTGGTTCTTTTCCCTTATCCACTCTCTGTTGCACACCCTGCTCTTGATCCAAGTGTCCTTCTGTGGTGACAATACCATCCCCAACTTCTTCTGTGACCTCTCTGCACTCCTAAAGATGAGCTGCTCAGATGTGTCCCTCAATGAGTTGGTCATCTTCACTGAGGCAGGATTGCTCTTTACCCTGTGTTTGGATGGCATCCTGGGCTCCTATGTCCGTATAGGGACCACTGTCCTGAGGGTCCCCTCCACTAAAAGTCTCTTTAAAGCCTTCTCTACCTGTGGCTCCCACCTCCTCGTCATGTCTTTATACTATGGGACCTCTGCAGGAGTTTACTTCTTCTCCTCGTCAACCTCCAGAGACAAAGACACGATTGCCTCTGTGATGTACACGGTCGTCACCCCCATCCTGAACCCCTTCATCTACAGCCTGAGGAATAGAGATATAAAACAGGCCTTAGAGACATTTGTCAATAAGATAATTTTTTCAACTGGCGACCTACAAATCATCTGATTTGAGTCACAAACACCATGAGATGTGAGAGGGTAGATAACTTATGTGATAAATATTGTGACAGGGTAGATAACTCCATGTAACTTGAAAAGAACATGCATTCTCCCGTCAAGGATGTTAATGCATCAACTAGATCAGAGTTGGTAACTTGGTTTGTTAAATATTCCTTATCCTCATTGCATTGTTCTCCTTTTTTCTTTTTTTCATCTCTTGAAAGTTATATGCAAAATCTTTTAAAAATATTTCACACAATTGCAAATGTCTGTTTCCTTCTACTTTGGAGATATGTCACTGCTCATGTGTGTGTTTTTTCTGTTGTGTTGTGAAGACACAGATCTAGCTTCGTGATCTGCTTCCAGGGGACTGGATTTATTTGTTGGGGGTGACCAGGTTTGCCTCATCTTCAAGTTGATTGTTCACAGCTCTTCCCAACTCTAGGATGACATGTTGGTAGATTGCAGTCAGCTGTAATGGGAATACTTACACTATGGGACATCTGTGACAGGGCTCTTTTTAATTTAAAAGTTACTAAAATTGTGAATGTATATTTTCACTCCTTCACACGTGCCCATATTCCACCACCATCCACCAAACCACTCATGCCAGTGCCCCAGCCCCTCCCCCCACTCACTGCTCACACCAGCTTGTTCTCTCTGATAACAAATAATTTTTTTTTCCCTTAGTTCAAGATGATTATTTTTGCTATATTTTGTCAGTATATGCTGTTTGATTATTTATATTCCATAGATAAGTAAACCACCCAGTATCTGCCTTTCTCTTTATGACTTATTTCAGGTAACATCACCACCTTGAGGCCATCCATGTTGCAGTGTGTAGTATTCCACCAAGCACATGTATTCTACAATTTCTTTACCTATTTGCCTGTCAATAGGCACTTAGATTGGTTCCATCACTGGGCACTTGTGGCCAGCACTGCTATGAATATGTGGGTGCTCAAGTCTTTTTGTATTAGAGATTTCATATCTAGGGTAAATACCTGATGGAGATGTGCAATGATCATATGGGATTTTCATTTCTGTATTTTCTGAAGAAAGCTCCATACCATTTCTGCAGAGACTGCACCAACTTGCATTCTGACCATGGATAAGTTCTTTTTTTTTTTCCATATCCTCACCATTTTTTTCCTTCCATTCTTTTAAATATGGCCATTCTCACAAGAGTGAGGCAATATCTCATTGTCGTTTTGATTAGCTTTTCCTTTATTAGAGTGCAGATAAGCTTTTCTCCCATATATCCATTGACCAACTGTATATTTTCATTGAGAAGTATCTGTTGCATCATATGCCCATTTTGTAGTTGGGTTGTTTTTGGTTAATATACATATATATATATATATGTACATATATATGTACATTCATATATATACACACACGGGGGAGGGGAGAGAGAAAGATTTATTTAGTTATACAATAGCTGGGGTACAGGTCAGAGGTCTGGGAGGTGAGAGGATTCACCAGAGACAGAGCGGGGAGCAGAACAGGCAGACGGACTGATAACACTGCTGAGGGGAGCAGCGGGCAAGGCAGGAGAGCTCTGCCACGCCATGTGAGAATCTCTCTGGCCAGCCAAGAATCGAACCTGCTCTACAGAGGGGGTGGACAGCTCACAGCAGTCTGCTAAACCCACTTGGAACCCGGAAGGCCCTGTTTTTGGTTTTTGTTGGCAGGTCGAATTGGTTCTTGCATATCTTACATATGATCCCTTATTGGTTGTGTAATGTGTAAATATATTCTCCCACTTAGTAGACTGTCTTTTTAATATGCTAGTATTCACTTTTACTGTACAAATCTTTTTAATTACCTTTAGTTCTAATTATTTATTTTTGTTGTATTTACCCTTGTTGTAGGGGTCAACTCCCTAAAGATGTCTGCATGGTCGATGTGATGACATGTCAATTCTGGTGTCTTCTTTGTCTTCTATGGTTTGGGGTCTTATATTTATATGCTGTTTCTTTATGTTGGCTTACATTATTGCATTTGTTTTAAGAGTTATCATTTCAAATCTCTACAAATACATGTTTTCACTGCATAAATACCAGCAGGATTAAATTCAATCTATATATTTCTTTGGGGGTATGTCTATGTTAGTAATGTAAATTCTTCCAATCAATATCATCTTTTTATGGTGGGGAGAATCGGGTGTATGCCAAATGCACATGGGTGAAAGAATTCATCAGAGACAGAGTGGAAAATTGAACACCAGATTTATTGAAACACACTGCTAAGAGCAGCCCCAGGTGAGGCAGGAGAGATCTGCTGTGCCCCAATCCAAAATTCTCTTTATAATGCCTTATGGTTTCATCATTGGCTCCTTCACCTCCTTTCTTAAGTTTACTCCTAGGAATTCTATTCTTTCTGTGTAATTGTGAATGAGATGATTTTCTTCATTTTTCTCTCTTCTAACCTATTGTTTGCATATAGAACTGCAACTGACTTTTCAAATTATAAATCAACTAACTGAGTCATTCATTCATATCAATATTATATCAACATTAATGATCATGTATTTACTTCTCCTTCCTTGGAATATATATAAAGAACTAGCACTAATGTGTTCTTAACAGGAATGATCTCATATAACTTTAATAAAAACTTCATACTGACTATACTGTGATTATCTGCCCTTTAAAGTAAAACAAGGTTAAAACAACTTAAGAAACAAGCTTGAGGAGAAAAGTTACTTGACATGTTCAGTACAACAGTGAATGACAGGCAGAGCCGAGCATCCCGTGCTGTCTGACCAGGGCGTTGGCCATATGCGCATTGGAAGATGGTTAAGTTATCCTGCTTCACATCTGGGTCTATGGCAACCCAGAGTGTCCCTGCACCGGAGACACCCTCCCAGGGCTTCCAGTGTCCCTTTGGCCTCTTCACAGCTCCTCCCCAAGGTCTGACAGGAATTGTAGGTAATTAGTCTATGGGCATTTTTCCACCAAGAGTTTAGGGACTAGTTCTTTGTTCTCTCATGGTTTATAAAATAGCACCCTCCTGGCTATTGCTCTAAAGTTCAAGGGCAGACTCGGAGTTAGGAGGTCATACACTCACAGAATTTGCTTTGTGCTTTTTGCCTAGTGTCCACAACAGAAGCTGAGGACACAGACGCTGATTAGACGGTCATTGACTTAGCAAGAATGGCAGGTCAGACTGTGCTGTGAATTCAAAGAGGAAAAAAAATAATGTTTCTTCCTATGGATTCCTTATGGGTCTTTGCTTTAATGTAGGTAAAAATATGTCTCCTGCCAGAATTTTGTATGTACATACACATTTATACATACATAGACTGAGAGATGGAGATTGAAAAAGACAGAGGTAGAGACAGAGACAGAGCTCTCTGGCCCAGAACTCAAGCATCAACTGGGTCCCCATTAGGCTAGTGGAGACCACTTCTGGGTGTGACCTGCAGTCTCTTAACCAGTCCTTTGATCTCAAACACCTGCCCTCCCTGCTGCATAACTCCCGCATGTTCATCTGGTTACTCCTACAGGTAAGTAAAGAGACTGCAGATGATAAAGAGAGAAGGTCTGCTGCCCATTCTGGAATAGGGTTCCTGCATTTATCCATGAGCAGTAGAGGAAAGAGGATGAAATTGCTAGAGTCAAGTGGTAGCTGTGATGTTGCTTTTTGTTTATAACAAAACTGACATATGCCCGTCACTCCAAGGATAATGTGTGTGTTTGTGTTTTGATGTTTTCATTACAGGCAGTGTTCCTGTGGGGCACTGTCCAGGGCATGGGGCCCACGTGCCATCCTCACTGACACTTTAGTGGCCGTTCACAAGGGTCATGCTCTGCACTGAGAGGAAGGGCCACTCGGGGCTCCCACACTGGCAGGTGTCACATACTAATGGATGGGAGCTCAGTGCCTGCTCAGTTTCCAATGGGGCCCACTCACAGTCTGGCCCTTATGTTTGCTCTCTGACATTGAGACCCCTCCCAGGGAAAGGATGGTAACTACTCCCACATACTTGCTCTTCTGAGGAATAAATGAGCCAATGCAAGCAGTCTATCCAGCATCTCGCCTGGCTCATGATTGGTGCTCAGAAGAGATGAGGATTTTTATTATCATTCCCAAGCCAGTGTCTGTGTGATGGAGAGAACCACTTCACTGCTGTCTGGGGCAGAATGAGTATAAGTCTAAGAACAGGGGCCTTTGCACGCCCCTCACACCCTGGAGAACACAGCCTGATTACTCCAGGGCTGGAGACCCAGAACCTTCCTCACAAATCACCCCTCACCACCTCCACCGAATCAAGGACCCAGTTGGTCCAGCTGGTTCCTCTTGTTTCCTCTGTTTTTCAGTGAGGCTGACACAGACCAATGAGTGGGGAGCCAGGCCTCCACATGGGGGTCGAGACACTGTCCTCTCAGTGGCCGTGAACCCAGATAAGCAGAGCCCTCAGCCAGTTCATGGTCCCAGAGGAGGCCTTGCTGTCCTGCACCCCTGCTTGAGAGAGCCAGTGTGGATGCCTCCTCATTGTGTGTTTGTGTGTGTGTGTATGTGTGTGTGTGTCTTATCCTAACTAAGCTCTCTGCCAAAGGAAGGGTGCATCTGGATCCACCGTTAGAGAACTAAGAGACCTCATTGGTCATGATATCTTTGTCCTGAGTCTTTTCACATTTCTGAAACGAAGGGTATCTTTACCTTATCTATCATATAATCTCCAATATACATTAATTTTTTGAAATTAAAGTATGTGAAAGCACTTTATAAATGTGCTTACTGGTGTATGATGCACCAGTAATGACTGTTAACTCTTGGACAGAGGAATGACAAATGACATCACACCACATGTCTCCTTATTCTAACTGCTAGGAGTGACATGTATGCAGAGGGTTAAAAGGTGGAATCCAGCCAGAGAAATATATTGTGATTTAGCCTTTTTTGCTGATTATTGATGTATCTTTGCACACTTAGATGATGTATATTTTGTTTCTCATAGTTAAAATAGTATTTTTTTAAAGATTTATTTATATATAGAAGAACTGGGGTACAAGCCAGAGGCCGAGAGGGTGAGAGAATTCACCAGAGGAAGAGCAGGGAGCAGAACAGGCAGAGGGACTGATACACTGCTAAGGGGAGCAGCGGACATGACAGGAGAAGTCTGCCGCACAATGTTGGAATCTTCCTGGCCAGCCGAGAATCCGCACTGCAGAGGCTGTGGACAGCTTCACAGCCCGCGCTCAATCCGCTGTGCCACCGGGGAGTCCTTGAAATAGTATTTATACTGTTGCTTTCTTAGGGCTACGCCTAGGATTTAGGTAGGAAGTGCATATGAAACCATAGGTATAGAGTCTGGCATGCTGTAGGTTAAAGACATTATTAGAGTTTGCTTAGGATCCTAGATGGACTTTTGTTGACAGGGAATAGCAATATCTCTGATCAGTTACATCCTGCCAATTTCACTCTAGCTTGTGAGAAATCACCAGGTATTCTTTTCCATTTTGGAGAGTTCAGGTCTCTTTAAGAGGAATTTATGGATTCTCTCCTGCTGCCCATCTCATAACTTTGCCATGATGCCAGTTACTGTCGCGTGACCTCTAATGATAGAAAGATGGAAACTCCTTGAAGGTAGAGGCTGCATTTCCTGCTTACTATTATGAACTCAGTGCTTTGTGGGGAGCCTGGGTCAAGGCAGTTGTTCAAGACATATTTATGGAATAGAGAAAAATGCCCTCTGGTCCATGGAAGGAAAACCTTGTAGGGTATCGTGAGTGTTATGTATTAAGCCCGCTGTGACAGACTGTGGTTCAAGCATCCACAGGGTGAGCAGTAAACAGATCATTGTTAAAAACTCATGCCTTCATGTAAAAAGGATATTGCCGAGTCATTGCAGATAATTCTAGACTTCCTACATCTCCTTCTTTCCTTCATCCCGGGCAGAGACATGAAGAGTATGAGGTGGGAGAACCAGAGCAGCGTGTCTGAGTTCCTCCTCCTGGGGCTCCCCATCCGGCCAGAGCAGCAGGGTCTGTTCTTCGCCCTGTTCCTGGGCATGTACCTGACCACGGTGCTGGGGAACCTGCTCATCATCCTGCTCATCAGGCTGGACTCGCGCCTCCACACCCCCATGTACTTCTTCCTCAGCCACTTGGCCTTCACTGATGTCTCCTTCTCATCTGTCACTGTCCCCAAGATGCTCACGAACATGCACACTCAGCAAATGTCCATCTCCTATAGAGAATGTATTTCCCAGATGTATTTCTTACTGTTCTTTGCCACTCTTGACAGTTTTCTTCTTGCAGTGATGGCCTTTGACAGGTACGTGGCCATCTGTCAGCCCCTCCACTACACCACCATCATGAGGCAGGAGCTGTGTGTCTCCTTAGTAGTGGGATCCTGGTTTGTTTGCCTGAACCACTCTCTGTTGCACACTCTGCTCTTGATCCAAGTGTCCTTCTGTGCTGACAATACCATCCCCCACTTCTTCTGTGACCTCCCTGCACTCCTGAAGATGAGCTGCTCAGACGTGTCCCTCAATGAGTTGGTCATCTTCACTGAAGCAGGATTGGTCTGTTCCCTGTGTTTGGGTTGCATCCTAGGCTCCTATATCCGTGTAGCGACTACTGTCCTGAGGGTCCCCTCCACTAAAAGTCTTTTCAAAGCCTTGTCTACCTGTGGCTCCCACCTTCTTGTTGTGTCTTTATACTATGGGACAGCTGCAGGAGTTTACTTCTCCTCATCATACACCTCCAGAGACAAAGAAATTATCGCCTCTGTGATGTACACGGTCGTCACCCCCATGCTGAACCCCTTCATCTACAGCCTGAGGAATAGAGATATAAAACAGGCCTTTGAGACATTTGTCAATAAGATTACTTTCAAATGATGACCTGTAAATCATCTGATTTTAGTCACGAACACCATGAGATGTATCTCCTAAGATTATGTGAGAGGGTTGATGACTTGGAAAGAACATGCATTCTCCTGTCAATGATTGAATTCATCGACTTGGTCAAATGTGGTAACTTGGTTTGTTAAATAAACTTTATCCTCATTACTTTATTCTGCTTTTTTTTTATCTCTTACAAGTTATGTGCAAAATCTTTTAAAAATATTTCACACCATTGCAAATGTCTGTGGCCTTCTATTTTGGAGATATGTCACTGTTCATGTCTGTGTTTTTTCTGTTATGTTATGAAGACACAGATCTAGCTTCATGACCTGCTCCTAGTGGACTGGATTTATTTGGGGGGGGCGGGACCAGGTTTGCCTCATCTTCAAGTTGATTGTTCACAGCTCTTCCCAACTCTAGGATGACATATCGGTAGATTGCAGTCAGCTGTAATGGGAACACTTACACTATGGAACATCTGTGACAGGGCTCTTTCTAATTTAAAAGGTATTAATATTGTGGATGTATATTTTTTCTGCTCCACACGTGCCCATATTCCAGCACCATAAACCCAACCACTCATGCCATGCCCCAGCCCTTCCCCCTACTCACTGCTCACCACCTTGTTCTCTCTGATAACAAATAATGTTTTTTTTTCCCCTTAGTTCCAGATGATTTTTTTGCTGTATTTTGTCAGTATATACTGTTTGGTTATTTATATTCCATAGATAAGTAAAACCACCCAGTATCTGCCTTTCATTTTATGACTTATTTCACTTAACATCACCGCCTTCAGGCCATCCACATTGCAGTGTGTAGTATTCCACTGACACATATTTTCTACAATTTTTTACCCATTTGTCGATGGGCACTTAGGTTGGTTCCATGATTGGCACTTATGAACAGCACTGCTATGAGTATACGGGTACATAAGTCTTTTTGTATTAGAGATTTCATATCTAGGGTAAATGCCTCATGGAGATGTGCAATGATCATATGGGATTTTCATTGTTTGTATTTTCTGAAGAAAGCTCCATACCATTTCTGCAGAGGCTGCACCAACTTGCATACTGACCATGGATGAGTTCTTTTTTTTTTTTTCAATATCCTCACCATTTTTTCCTTCCATTCTTTTAAATATGGCCATTCTCACAAGAGTGAGGTGATATCTCATTGTGGTTTTGATTTGCTTTTCCTTTATTAGAAGTGAAGTTATGCTTTTTTCCCATATAACCATTGAGCAACTGTATATTTTCTTTGGAGACGTATCTATTACAATCATATGCCCATTTTGTAGTTGGGTTGTTTTGGTTTTATATATATATGTGTGTGTGTGTGTGTGTGTGTGTGTGTGTGTATAGAGAGAGAGATTTAATTATACAAGAATTGGGGTACAGGTCCGAGGCACGGGAGGGTGAGAGGATTCATCAGAGACAGAGCGGGAAGCAGAACAGGCAGACAGACCAATAACACTGTGGAGGGGAGCAGCAGGCCAGCCAGGAGAGGTCGGCCACGCCATGTGGGAATCTCCCTGGCCAGCCAGGAAGCGAACCCGCACTGCAGAGGCTGCAGACACCTTCACAGCAGGGCGCTCAACCACTGCATCACCTGGAGGCCCTGTTTGGGGTTTTTGTTGGCAGGTCGAATGGGTTCTTGTCTACCTTACCTAAGATCCCTTATTAGTTGTGTAATGTGTAAATATATTCTCCCACTTAGTAGACTGTCTTTTTAATATGCTAGTATTTTCTCTTACTGTACAAATGTTTTTAATTTCCTTTAGTTCTAATTATTTATTTTTGTTGTGTTTTCCCTTGTTGTAGGGGTCAATTCCATGTAGATGTCTGCATGGTCGATGTGATGAAATGTATCATCTCTTGTGTCTTCTTTCTATTTTATGGGTTGGGGTCTTATGTCCAAGTCTTTAATGATTTTGAATTTATTTATATGCTGTTTATTTATATTGGTTTACATTATTGTATTTGTTTTAGGGTTTATCAGTTCAAATCTCCACAAATATATGTTTTTAACTATAACTACCACGAGGATTGTATTCAATCTACATACTTCTTTGGGGAGTATGTCTATGTTAGTAATGTAAATTCTTCCAATCAATATCATCTTTTTATGGTGGGGGAGAATCGGGGATATGCCAGATGCTCAGGGGTGAAAGAATTCATCAGAGACAGTGTGGAAAATTGAACAGGCAGATTTATTGAAACACACTGCAAAGAGGAACAGCAGGTGAGCCAGGAGAGTTCTGCTGAGCCCCAATCCATAATTCTCTTTAAAATGACTTAGAGTTTTCAGTGCGTGGATCCTTCACCTCCTTCCTTGAGTTTAACTTTAGGAATTCTATTCTCTCTGTGTAATTGTGAATGAGATGATTTTCTTTATTTTTCTCTCTTCTAACCTCTTGTTTGCATATGGAACTGCAACTGACTTTCAAATTATAAATCAACTAACTGAGTCATTCATTCATAACAATACTATATCAACATCAATGATCATATATTTGCTTCTCCTTCCTTGGAATATACATAGAGAACTAGCACTAATGTGTTCTTAACAGGAATGATCTCATATAACTTTAATAAAAACTTCATACTGACTATACACTGATTATCTGCCCTTTAAAGTAAAACAAGGTTAAAACAACTTATGAAACAAGCTTGAGATAAGTTACTTGACATGTTGAGCGCAACAATGAATGACAGGCAGAGCCCAGCATCCCGTGCTGTCTGACCAGGGCATTGGCCACATGGGCATTGGAAGATGATTAAGTCATCCTGCTTCCCAGCTGGATCTATGGGCAACCCAGAGTGGCCCTGCACCTGAGACACCCTCCCCGGTGGATCCCAGTGTCCCTTTGGCTTCTTCTCAGGCTCCTCCCCAAGGTCATACAGGAATATCGGGCAATTAGATTTTTCTGGCATTTTTCCACCAAGAGTTTAGGGACTATTTCTTTGTCCTCTCCTGGTTTATAAAATAGCATCCTCCTGCCTATTGCTCTGAAATTCAAGGGCAGACACAGAGAGTCAGGAGGTCATAGGCTCCCAGAGATTTGCTTTGTGCTTTTTGCCTGGTGTCCATAACAGAAGCTGAGGATGCAGATGCTGATTAGTGGGTCATTGACTGAGCAAGAATGGCAGGTCAGACTATGCTGTGGATTCAAAGAGGAAAAAAAATGTTTCTTTCTATGGATACATTATGGGTGTTGCTAGTAATGTATATAAAAATTACTTCTTGCCAGAATTTTGTATGTACATACATATTTACATAGAGAGACTGAGAGATGTAGATTGAAAAAGACAGGGGTAGACAGAGAGAGAGGAACACAAGAGACAGAGAAGGGTAAATGACACAACGAATCCTTTTCCTCCTTGGCCCAGAACTCATTCATCAACTGGGTCCGCATTAGGCAAGTGGAGACCACTTCTGGGCGTGACCTGCAGTCTCTTAACCAGTCCTTTGATCTCAAACACCTGCCCTTCCTGCGGCATAACTCCCGCATGTTCATCTGGCTACTCCTACAGGTAAGTAAAGAGACTGCAGATGGTAGAGAGAGAAGATGTGTTCCCCACTCTGGCGCAGGGGTTCCTGCATTTATCCATGAGCAGTAGAGGAAAGAGGATGAAATTGTTAGAGTCAAGTGGTAGCTGTGATGTTGTGTTTTGTTTATAACAAAACTGACATATGCCTGTCACTCCAAGGATAGTGTGTGTGGTTGTGTTTTGATGTTTTCATTACAGGCAGTATTTTTGTCCACGGCATGGGGCCCACGTGCCATCCTCACTGACACTTTAGTGGCCGTTCACAAGGGTCATGCTCTGCACTGAGAGGAAGGGCCACTCGGGGCTCCCCCACTGGGCAGGTGTCACATACTAATGGATGGGAGCTCAGTGCCTGCTCAGTTTCCAATGGGGCCCACTCACACTCTGGCCCTTATGTTTGCTCTCTGACATTGAGACCCCTCCCTGGGAAAGGAGGGTACCTACTCCCACATACTTGCTCTTCTGAGGAATAAATGAGCCAATGCAAACAGGCTATCCAGCATCTCACCTGGCTCATGATTGGTGCTCAGAAGAGATGAGGATTTTTATTATCATCCCCAAGCCAGTGTCTGTGTGATGGAGACCCCCACTTCACTGCTGTCTGGGGCAGGATAAGTACAAGTCTAAGAACAGGGGCCCTTGCATGCCCCTCACACACTGGAGAACACAGCCTGATCACTCCAGGGCTTGAATCTAGCACCTTCTTCACAATTCACCCCACCACCACCTCCACCAAATCAGGGACCCAGTTGGTCCAGCTGGTTCCTGCTTGTTTCCTCTCTTTCTCAGTGAGGCTGACACAGCCCACGTGAGTGGGGAGCCAGGCCTCCACATGGGGATCCAGACACTGTCCTCTCGGTGACCTTGAGCCCAGATAAGCAGAGCCCTCAGCCAGTTCATGTCCCAGAGGAGCTTTGTTGTCCTGCACCCCTGCTTGAGAGAGTCAGTGCGGATGCCTCCTCATTGTGTGTTTGTGTGTGTGTGTGTGTGTCTAATCCTAACTAAGCTCTCTGCCAAAGGAAGGGTGCATCTGGAATCCACCATCAGAGAACTGAAGGACCTCATTGGTCATGATATCTTTGTCCTGAGTCTTTTCACATTTCTGTGATGAAGGGTATATTTACCTTATCTATCATATAATCTCCAACATACATTAATTATTTGGAATTAAAGTATGTGAAAGCTCCTTGTAAATGTGCTTACTGGTGTATGATGCACCAGAAATGACTGATAACTCTTGGACAAAGGAATGACAAATGACATCACACAACATGTCTCCTTATTCTAACTACCGGGGTGTGACATGTATGCAGAGGGTTAAAAGCTGGAATCTGGCAAGAGAGATATATTGTGATTTAGCCGTTTTTGCTGGTTATTGATGTATCTTTGCACATACAGAGAATGTTTATTTTGTTCCTCATAGCTAAAATAGGATTTTCTGAAGATTTATTTATTTACACAA